TTCTTTTTATTCTAAAAAATTTATGACAGTGTATAGAGTAGAAATGTGTGTTTTTCATGTCTATGGACAGGTATGGATTGAACTCCCCTAATTCCACCAGGGTCATTCATTACAATTAAATGAATAAATATTATCATATTTTCATCAACTATTTTTGAGAGCAAATCGAGACCTGTATTACACTTTAAAATATTAAACTTCTTACAAATCCTCATAGAGGAACAACTGAATTAATTCAATACTCTAATTAAAAGTGACACCACCAAAAAGCTGTGGGTTGGGGCCCTTGAAATTTCTGAATTATTAGTCTTCTTTAACCATGAACAGTTAGTGGGAACATAAGGGGGAATGAATTCTGCTTTAATGCTTTAGTTTTTCTATCAGTAAATGTTCATTTCCATCGTCTGGAAGAGGAACAGTAATTAATGTTAAATAGAATTGCTATTTTCTACTGGATTTATAATTTTAATATACATTCTTAGTAATAACCACTTCACATGTATACAGATGGTGTAGTCATCTGCATGCCCTCTTTTGTAACTTTTACAAAATGAAATTTATCCATAATAATTTTTAACTCGGATTTAATAAGCATTGCCCGTTGACCCACCGGACCATTTAGAAGACCTAATGAACATTTAATATACCCACACATATGGTGTAATGAACATATAATATATATTATGATCATGTAATATTCTCACATATATGGTTTATTGCACTTGCGATGATATATGCAGAATATCACTTGTTCTCGAATACTGATGACAAAATTCTACCCTAGAAATAAGTAGTGTGAGTAAACCAGGTGTCATGATTATGAAATGTATTTATATATCAAGATTTGCTGGTAGTTCAGAAGCAAATTTGGAAGTTTTAAGGTCCTGTTCCTACTCTAATGAACACATATGAAGAAAATAGATCATTTTTTTTGCCACTACAACGAGAATGACCTTACTACGTCAGAGAAAATAACATGTCTCAGGTACATTTTCTTCCTTTCTGTCATCATCTTTACCTTTCCCACTATCCACAGGAGTTTCAAATGTCCTAATCAAATAAATGAAGGGAAAATTTACATTTTAGCTTATATTTCTAATCACAACAATATCAATGTTGTTTCATTTTCCTCAGTGATTTTCTAATTATTTTGTTGTGATAAAATCTATTTCACTATACTTTTATTATTACCCTATTAAAAAGAAATTAGAACTTCCTAAGTTATATAATTTTGTGGGACATTTACCAAATGTAGACATTTGGGTTGCTTTTTTTTAAAAACAAACAAACAAAAAACCAAGCATGTTTTAATATATAAGCTATCTTATGACACGAGAAATTTGGTGAGATATTTACAAGGGATTATAAGAAGTATTAATGAAAGGTGGTCAGTAAATTTAAAGTATTATTATCAATATGAAAAACCAAGATATGCATCATTAAAATATAGTTTCTTAGATATACTGAGTTTAGCATAAGTCTTTTTAAAAATAATCTTGATTCCACTGCTTGTGCAGTACCTCCCCTGTCAGCCCCCCAGTAGTACCACAAAACATGGCAAGGACTTAACTGTCATTTCTTCTCCTTGGGTTTTCTCTTCACAACTGCTGTTAACTACTGTTCCCTCTTCTTCTCTTCCCACCTTTTGCATTTCATAATTGTTCTAGATTCAAGCTTTTCAGATTCATCTTGGATAAATCTTTTAACTGATCTTTGTGATAAATATTATCATATTTTATAACAATATGCAGCAATAAAAGTAGGCAGATAAAAAATTTCCTTCCTAAAGATGGCCTTTAAAAAACAATTTTGGAGCCTCCCTGGTGGAGCAATAGTGCTTAAGTCTCAGCACTATGAAGCTATCTGCTGCTATGAGTTTGATCCCTGGTCAGAGAACTAACCCACTGGGCGCAGCAGACCTCTCCTGTCTCACCCACTCCTCCTGTCAGCAGTGTATTTCAGTAGATCTGCCTGTTCTCCTCCCTACTCTGTCTCTGGTGAATCCTTTCTCCTCTCCCCCAACCCCACACCTCTTGTATGCATAAATAAATCTTTTTAAAAATAAAATAAAAAACAATTTTGCATTCACTAATTCACTAAGTCCAAAATATTTTTTCTTGAGAAAGAGCTGGGGTCTCTGACTTGGAGGATGCCATACCAGCATACAAGGGGACATAGTTCTGTGTGGACAGCCAGGGGGTTGCCCATGGGAACTTCAGAGAACTGTCACTTGCAGAGCAAAAAAATGATTATGATTAAAATACTTAATTGAAAAGAAGGGAAGGTATGGTTAATACAGTGGAGGGATAATGTAGGTTGATTCAGGATCAATGTGATTCAGGATTCAAAAATGAAACAATTTGAGTTTCTCCTTTATGAACCACTGTCGTCTTTTTTCTTCTTATAGTAGGTGAACAGGATGAATGATGAATGGATGTGACATCACCTGAGGTTTCTTAAACTGCTGGGCACTTACATCAATTATTTTGAATTTAGGCAGCATTATTACTTTGAGCAGTTTTACATAGTTTGAAGAATACCTGAATGCAAAACTCCCTTAACCCATAATGAACTTGTGTGTGTTTAGACAGTTTTTTGTAGGTTTAGCATCAGTGGGAATAAAAGATTGCAATTGCTACCTCATTCCAGCAGGCACTTTTCAGACCACAAATCTTGCTGCCCAGATGGGTAAGGGCTGCTAAACGCAAAGACTGCAGAAATAAAGACCGCCCAGAGGTGGCGCTGTGGTTAAAGTACACCTGAATTTTGATTACAGTGAATGTATTTTCTCCCTAACCCTCAGAAAGAAGACTGTTAGCCATTATCGCTTTTGTATTTCTATAACTACAACATCAACAAATAAAGCTCTTTGGTAATATACCCCCATCCACTCCAATCTGCTTGTGTAAAGACCTCATACCGCACACAACTAGAGCTGAAACACTGAAACCACCTCCTAGGACATTTATAGTGTGGAGATCTGTAGTCAAAGTTTTCTCCATCTTTTTCCCTTCCACAAAAATGACGTGTGTGTATTCTTTGGATGATAACTCAGTGATATGTGAACACGTGCCTGGTTAAGTTTCTAAAAATTTGTTTTAAAATAAAGATTTCATTGTAGTGTGCTTCAGGAAATACCTAAAGTACCACAGTTACATGTTCTTTTTTAATGAAATAATTTTTAAAAAGAAAAAATTAAGGTCATTTGGCTTAATTTCCTCATTTGTATTTAAGAAAATTATAGCCCAGAGAAGGAAATCTACTTGTACATGACGAATCATAACTTAATTGTAGCCCACTACAATCTGTCATCTCGTTTTGATTATTATAAATTATTAAACTGAACTGAACCAGGGAATTAAAATGTGTGCATTAGTTGTTTATTGGATCCCTTTTTTCATTTTCTTTGAGTTTTCTTTACTAACCTTCAAGAAAATTATGCCTTTTAAATTTGGCCTTCTTTAATCACACGCATTTGCAGCTGTTTTTGTACAGGACACTTTAATTACTATTACAGTTCTAATGATTTTCTAAAAAATGTTTGTCATACTCACACACATATTATATGCAGTGTTATCACGGGCAGATAAAAACAACTTTAACTACCAATCAATAAAATTAAGTCATTTAATACTGAGGTGCTAGAAATACAGAATAAAAAAATGAGTATTTTAATTGGCATTTAAATCGTCCTCTGCTCCGCAATGTCCTCTGCTAGACAATGATTATTCTTCTTTTGCAGCCTTAATTTTGGCTTGAAAGATAGAAATCTCCCATAGATGTTTAACATCTGCCTTGTCAAGTCAGATTCTTCTGCAGGTTCCTTCCCTCCATCTATCAGTACTCAGTATAATACAGCATGAAAACTTGTCCCACAAGGCTGGTTTTACTTAATGATACTTAGTAGAAGGGCTTTGCACTTTCAAGATAATTTCCACCAGAAATATCTCTCTGGAACTTACTAATAATAATCAAACCTAATACTAGCCTCAGATCGGAGATTTATTAAGCCAATTTGGCAGAGTAGATAAAGTTGAATGACTGGGTATCCAAGCATCTAGGCTGAGCCTTGGCCCTGGAAAGAGACTCTCGGGCTAGCACCCTAAAAGCATTCCTCAAAACTTGATTTATACTAGAAATGACCTTTCTCACTCTCTAGAGCCTGTGAGATTGCGAATCTTGCGATTCCTTCCCTTGCATTTGGGGACAGTACATTCGGCTGGGTGGATACAAGGGCAAGGCTTTCTCTTTGAAGTTTTCTTCAACTTCGATCGTGAGGACTGTCATCTCTTTATCCCAAACGATTGACAAACACCTGTGAAGTGCTTACTAGTTTCCACTCGATTCACGGGAAGAGGGGTTACATGGGCAGTATTTGGGCAAAAGTGTTGAAGTGTTGATTTTTTTTTATTAACGTTTTTACCTCGTTAACTAAACTTCCCTTCAGGCGCACAAATCTCCAACACTCTGAATTAAAAAACAAAACACAAAAAACAAACTCATACACACAAATCACGTCTTCTGCGTGGGGCTGCAATCCACCGCCCTACATTTTCAGGAGGGTTTTCTTCCCAAGCAGGAAGAGACCCATTTCTGAGAAAGATGTGAAGTAAGTTTCCAAGGGTGTCGTCTCGGCGCGAGGGCAGGGCAGTTCCCCAGAGGCGAGCGGATGAGCCTCTGGAGGGGCCCCCAGCGCGCCGGGAAGGCAGGTGCTGCACCCCGCGCCTCGGATCGCCATCTCGGGCCGCCTCGGGCCGCCGGGCCGGGGCCCCCCCAGAGCCGGGGGGTCACTGCTCCCCACCTGACTCGGGCCCTTCCCTGCTCCTCCCTCGGCCCGCTCCGCCGCCGGCCTCGCTCCCCCGCCCCCAGAGTCTCGTTTCAGTCATCCCTTTGTCCTTCCCCGGATTGGCAGGTTTTATTATTCCGCCTGAACAATCCGGCCGCCCAGTGGCTGAGGGTCGCTGACGTCGGCGGCAGAGCCGGGGAGTAGTTGGGATTTTGCTCTGTCAGTAACACATGTGGAAGCGCCGCGGAGGGAGCGAGCGAGCCGGCTAGAGGCCAGCGCCGCGCCGCCGCCTCCGAGCCGGGCAGCAGCAGCTCGGGCAGCAGCCCCGGCAGCGGCGCAGGCTCCAGGGCGCCGGGCCCGGCCCCGCCGCAGCTCCCCGCCTCCCGGGCCGCAGCCGCGCCGCTCCCGGGCTGCTGTTCCCGCGGCTGCTCCCGGACTGGAGGCGCAGGAAGCTGGGTCGAGCGGCGGCGGCCGCCAGCCCCGAGAGCGCGCGAGCGCGCGGGAGGGAGGCAGGCGGTGGAGGAGGAGCGGGCGGAGCGGGCGGGGCGCGGGCGGGGGCGGGGGCCGGCGGGCGGGGGAATATACAAAGTGAAGCCACATTGCCAAACTTGCAGCAGCGATTGCAGCAGTTGCTGCCGCTGCGCCGCGCCTGAAGCCGCGCCGCGCGGGCCGAGGGCTCCTGCAGCTGCTCGCGCGGAGCCGGAGCCGGAGCCGGAGGACGAGGACTAGGACTAGGACTGACACTTCTGCTCCCCGCCGCCTGCCACTTAACGCGGGCCCCCCCCCAGCCCAGCATTCTGAGCAACGCATTTAAAAAAAAAAAAAAAAAAAAGGCAGCCCTTTTAGCCCCCTCCTCCCCTCTCCTGCTTCTGCGAGAACTCCCCCCACCCTCCAGCTCCGCCGGCCCAGGCGCCCCTTCCTTGGAAGCCGAGCGCCGCTCGCCTTTCGCCGCTGCCGCCTCCCGCAATATTGCAATATAGGGGAAAAGCAGGTAAGGGGACGGCTGGGGAGCCGCTGCTGGGGAGGGGGGCAGGGGGAGAGGGAGGAGGGGGCCGATTTGCGCCGGGGCTGTTTTCTTTGGCTTTCTTCCCTTGACCGTCCCAAATTGCAAGTAAACAATACGTCGGCTTGGATAATGCGCGAGTCTGAAACTACCGAGGCCGGCCTGCGAGCTAGCAAGGAGGGCAGCCCCGGGCCGCCAGCTTTGTAGCGGTTCCTGCTTACAAAAGGGTTTCTTCTGGGAGAGACCGGGCTGGTGGGGATCTCGGAGGGGGGTGGGGAGATTTTCAGTTCCTAAGGGAAAGGCAGGGGCGCTTCAAGGAGGGTTTAAGTAGGAGAAGTAGTGTGGGGGGGGGAAATAGTCACGACCCCCCCTTCTAGTCAACACTGTTTTTGAAACAGTGGCAGAAAGGCTCTAAGTGGGCAGGGTTCCTTATTGCTGGTTCTTTAAAAAAAAAAAATTCCTCCTGGCTTATAAGTCTTTTGTTCCAATCCAGGAGAAATCCGGTGAATCACCTAATTAAAATCAAGACATGAATTAAGCATCCATTTCTGTACTACAAATTGCCAGCGCTACGTTTGTCCCTCCCTTGGTCTCCATTAAAAAACACCAGAGACGTTGTTAAAGGGGGAGCAGATTTTGCCTCTAGCTGCCAGTTCTGCTTTCTATTTCACTGACTATCCCAGGACCTAAATTGCTTGGCTATGTAATTACTAGAGTATAAGCCTATTTAACTTAAAAGCTTTCTTTTTTTTTCCAACTCTAAATGAAACTTGATGAGGGCCCGTCCTTAGTTATCAGGGGAGTCAGTTTCTGGTCAGTCCTCTTGATTCATCTCTTTTAGATTTAATCAGCATTAAGGTATTGCTTGTCCTTAAGAGCTTTAGCTAATGGGGTTACTGGATGCTTTTCTCAGTGTAATGTTTCCTTTTCAAAAAAAAAAAAAATACATATATATTTACCTCTCACCATAGATGGGGGCGGGGAAGAGCTTGGAATCTCCTCCCTCTTCCCTTTTAAAAAGGAATTCGGAGCGATTAAAACGTTGGGGGAAACAGTTTAAAGACCTAGGGCAGGAAATGCAGATTCATTTGGGTTAGGGCTGAAATTGTAACAAAAAGCAATTCCTCGAGTAAATGCATCAGATAAATCAATTTACATAAAGGTATGATGCATTCGGATAAATGCAATGCTAATGGGTTTTAGAGTGGTCCTGTTTCCAAAGTCTCAGGGTTTTGTTACAGCTTAATTGGTGCAGTTCTTATTCTGGTTTATTGTGCGGTCACTGGACACACGTTCCGGGACTCTTTCGGAGGAAATGTGTTTAAAATCGGCCTATTTAAGGAACTCGAGTCCTTGTTTCGTTCCCTTCCCCTCGTTTTGTTGCTGCAGCCAAGTTGGGCCGGGGACAGGCAAAGTTCGCCCTCTCCCTTCTGAGGTATCAGCTGAATGTCTTGAGCAGATAGCCGGGAGCCTCGGGGGGAGCCTCCACTCTCGGCTTACAGAGGACAAAGACAAAACCGGCTGCTTAATTGGCAGTAAATAACTTGATCTTTTTATAGAATAAGTGACTGGAGGAACACTAGGACTTTATTGGACTCAGGATTGGAGGCAACAAATTAATCGGTTTAGGCTAAGCTTTATAAATTGATTCCTATATTATACCCCAGTTGCTTCTCTTGTGACATTCATTAAAAAGAGTGGGGAATTTTTTTTTTTTAAAAGCAGGTTTTGGTGACAGCAGGACTCGCTCGAATTTAACTTGTGCATCCTTTAATAGTGCCTTCTCGCATATGATCTCTGATGCCCCCCCTTCTTTGGTGGAACAAAGCTTTAGCATTTAAATTGCTGATCAAGGGCAGATTAGTGAGACCAAAGTGGAGAGTGTTTGTATAGGAAGTTAACAGGCATCCTAAAGTTCAATGATCTATTATTCTTGCCTGTGTCCTGAAAACCCAGAGAAAACACTCATTGATCTTCAAAATGAAATGAGATTTGGAACAATAATGGAGATGGCGGTCACCACAATGGCATGTGAAAGGTGCTGTTTAAAATACGAAAAACCAGTTTCGCAACTTTACGCACCGCAACCCCCCCCTCTCCGTGGCTCTGGCCTCCCCTCCCATCCACACGCTCTCCATCTCCCCCGTGCCGGTTCCTCGCCTTGCCTTTCAGAAAACCCAACTGTTTCCAACTTGTGAACTGCAGCTGCACTTCCCAGGGCAGAGCTCGGGGAAGGAACGTGGCTCCGAGCGCGGGGCCGCCTCCTCGCTGCCCGCGGCTCGCTCGGGACGCACGGGGGCTGGGGAGGGGCCGGGCGCGGCGGTGGGTGGGTTTGACCCTCATTTGCTGGAGGCGGGCGGTGGAGGGGGCGGGGGAAGAGGCGGGGGCTGGGGTGGGGAGGCGCCGCTAGGGGTGGAGCGCGCCGATCCTCCTCGCTCTCGGAGTTTTGACAGTACCCTAGCTGAAATTGTCAGCCGCGGCGAGCGCTGGAAAGTTGAGAGGAGCTCGTGGCCCCAGAACAAAGCTTGAGAAAAGTAAACAGGCGGCGGCTGCTGCGGGCGAGCCTGCTCCTTCCCTCTCCCCCTCACCCTCCTTCCCGCCCCTGCGCTGCTGCTTCCCTCCAGCAGCTCTGGGGGGAGAGACCTGGTTCGCCCTCTTACGGGGCTGTTACTAACTTTTGCCTTGTTGGTTTTGTTTTTCTCTCCCTTTCCACCATCCCGCTCTCTGCAGACCATGGTGAATCCGGGCAGCAGCTCACAACCTCCCCCGGTGACAGCCGGCTCCCTCTCCTGGAAGCGGTGCGCAGGCTGCGGGGGCAAGATTGCAGACCGTTTTCTGCTCTATGCCATGGACAGCTACTGGCACAGCCGGTGCCTCAAGTGCTCCTGCTGCCAGGCACAGCTGGGTGACATCGGCACTTCCTGTTACACCAAGAGCGGCATGATTCTTTGCAGAAATGACTACATTAGGTAAGACTTCGCTGCCTTTCCCCCAGATGCACGAGCAGAGCAAGGGCAAGGCCAAAGGTTGCTGGGGGTTTTGAGGAAAGGAGCCGGCATTTAGGAGAATACATTGTAGATTTTTAGCTCGAAAGCCTCTGCTTGGTCAAATTGTAGGGGTTCAGTTGCATGTCTTCATCTTGATTTTTAATGACAAACTAATGGTAAATGCCATAGGAAGTCTGAACTATCTGGTGAGGCTGGGCTGTTAGGTGTGCAAAGGTTGGGCACTCTCAGGACCAAAATTTTAAGTGGGCAGCCCCAACTGAACTCTGGGCTGAAAATAAACATTTCACGTGGAAGTTAAGCTGCTTTCTGAATGCAAAGTAGGGACCTCCAGAGAAACTCAGGGACAAAAGTTTGACTTAAAAATAATGCAGTGAGAAATGATTTGCTTATGGTGATGGCTAATTATGATATTTACATAAGCACCTTTAAACTTTTGAGTGGAAAACTGTGACTCATTCTTTGTGTTCCTTTTGAAAAATCATGGTTACCCATCAGTTTAAAGACTTGTTAATTCTTCTTGTAGTAAATCCTCTAGATCACCCCCGCTGCCCCCAAAAAAACCTTGATGGCAATGTTTCTCTTTATATTGTTACAGGCTTGTGATGCTCCATATTACTGTGTGGTTTGGGATAAAGGGGGTATAATACGTCTTGCAGTTTTTTCAGTAGCATAGCGTTCAGATTTTTGTTGTTGTTGTCAATCTGTATCGCTACCCTTGATCCACAGAACAGATTTAGGAAAAGGAGCTATAGTATTTTACTAATCTTGAATTTTAATGCCATGTATAGGAATATTCATATGCCCATATAAGCAGTCTTTCCCAACAAGTTTCAGTGCAATTAATGGAAAGAATTCAGGAGGTCAGGTGCCTATAGGATCTTTTCAGGTGAACTCAAGCTACTTAAACTCATTAATTTGAAAGGGGGCATTTGAAGGATTACACATTTAATTTGAGTAAATGGTTTGATAGACTGATGCACATGAATGCTTCTAGGAGGTGTTCTGTTTCAACATCCAGTAATTAAAAAAAAAAAAAAAAAACCCACACGCACATCGTTGTTACTAGAGAACCACTTACTTTTCAGAATTGCATCCTATTTCAATTTGTCCTAGACTGTTTTCTTTATAGATATTAGTAGAAAATTTTACTTTCTTCAGTGTGAATGAATCAATGGATGAGGTTTTCCCCCCCAAGTTTAACTCTTAATTACCTTATTCTACGTGTAATACTACTACAAAAGAGCCCAGTGCTGTTCAGAGCTGAGTATGGGTATGTTTACTCCATTGATATCATTAGTGTAACATAGGGTAAAATGACATTTGGTTATTCCGATAATTCAGCCTATTTCCATTTTGCTGGCGTTCTCAGTCAGCCAAGTAAAAGAAATAGAGGAAGGGAGAGGGCTTTTATTTTTAAATTAAGATGGCAGCATTAATTTCACTAAGTGTTCTTTTAGAAGTAAATGTTGGAAAATCAGCAGGAACATGGGTGTAATGCTTTCTGGTCCTCCTTCAAGCAATGCCATGAGCTTTGACAGTATTGTAATTAAATAGAGAGCAAAACTGTGGTAAGAAAGGAAGGGCGGTTTGAAGTGGAAAAATTGATAGTGTGTTCAGATACAGTGAATGGTGCTGATGCATCTCTTCTCCAAATGCCTTCAAAAAACCTTCACTTCTGATTACCACTAATTAAAAGGAAGATGGGTCCACTTGCATTCCCCCAGGACAAGTTTAGGCAAGTGGCTTCCTGGGAATCAGCTCCTTTTCTTTCCCTATTCTGGGGGCCAAATATAAATGCCCATTTGGTGTTTCTTCATGGCTTAATGGGGCAGTGGAGGGTATGTGCCCAGCCCTGAGCCTTAATTAATAGAGTCCATTTCTCTTTCTTTTTTTCCTCTGAATTTGGAAACTAGAGCCTGGCTTGCTCTTGAACTGAATGCTCCCTGAGAACCTTAGATCTGTGCAGGAGAGAAGAGTTCTAGCTCAGTGACAAATTGATCTCACACTGCTCAGAGCTTGACAGCAGCTGAGTGGTCCTCTCACCTTTCTCTCCCCCCACCCCTCATTTAAAGGGAACTCTTAAGTCTTGGCTTTTAATGTCTTCTCCCCTCTGCCTATCAAAAGGCCTGAGAGGTGGGAAGGTGGGGGTGGGGGGAGGCTTGCATTTCTTTCCTTCTCTGCAGCTTCACCCTAACCTCACCCTCTCCATCCTCCAGCCCACTTGTTGGAGGAGCTTTCAGTTCTACAAGCTTCTCCCGCCTACCAGGTGAAAGGGACTCTTCGACTCTTCTGCTCGCCTGGGACCACAGAGCGATTTATTAAGGGGCTTTTAAACTGTCTGACTTTGAGGCTGTGGTTTTTTGAAAACAACCAATATCTGGCTAAAAAGCTGCGGGGGAGTTTGGAGAGGCGGGGTGGGGTGGGGTAGGGGGGCGCTTATTTTCTCTAGTCCCCTCCCCCTGCGCGATCAAGTGTCGATTGGGCCGAGTTGGGCTTCAGCCTCCTCTCCCTCCAAGATTTCAGATAAAGCGGCTGCCTTGCTGCAGCGAATCCGCACAATTAAAAGCTTTAATTAGTGGCTCCTCCATTTTCTTAGTTCTGATGGGCTTTATCTAATGAGATCTGGTCTCTGGCTTAGATCTGCTCCGAATGACGTGTCCGCAATGAATGAGAGCTGCGTCGCAAACAAAACATTTAATTAACAAAATTGGCCTCTAAGAGAGGGAGGGAAAGGCTGGGGGGGTGGTATGGAGGGGCGGGGGAGGGTGTATCTTAAAGGGGCCAACACCAGCCTGCCCGTCCTCCCATCGTCCCAAAGTCGACGAACCTTCCAAGTGCCCCCCAACTCCCGACTCCCCAGCTCAACCCAAGCGCCACCTAATAGATGCGCAAAGTCCGTTTCGCATTCCTCGAATCTTGATTCCCCCCCACCCAGGCCCCGCAGACTGGCTCGGAAAGTGCTGCGGGAGAAGGAAGTTCAGAGACCGACGGGTGGGGCCCCGGGTCTGGGGTGGGCTTGGAGACGCCTCGGAAGCCCCGGGATGGCGGTCCTCCGCGGCGCCCCTTCTCACTCGCAGCCGGCCGGGACACGGGCCCGGGCCCGGCGCCCCCGGAGGCTGCATTTGAGGCGCCCGGCCGGCCGGCGGCGGCCCACGAGGGGGCGAGCGCAGGGCGGGTGCCGGGCGCGCGGGGTGCGCTCTCCTTCCCCCGGCTCCGCTCCGGCGGTTCACGTGGCGCCCGCAGCCGCAGTGAGCTCAGCGAGACCGGGGGTGGGGACCCGGGGCGGAGGAAGAGGGGGATTGGTGATGCTTGGTGGTGGAGGGGGGTGTTTGGGGAGGGGGTAGCGTTAGGAATGGAGGCGCTGCCAGACAGCGAGTTCATTTCCCTGGTAATCAACAGCAAGCTGCTATATTCAGAGAATGCTGTCCCTTTAATTGAACAGGCTAGGTAATTAAATGGCACTTTTCCAATAGGACGTGCTAGGTAAATCTAATAGTTGGTTATTTAATATCACTTTGAAGTCTGCCCACTCAAGCACAATGACAGCACAGGAGCATGTGAACTATTAGCTAGGAAAAAAAAAAAAAAAACCCAGGATCTCAAAAATTAATTAAATCGCATGCAATTTAGGGGGAACGTTTATCTTGATTTGTCATAACAGAATTAATTCAAGGCCTCCAATTCACTTGGGGGCAGATCTGTTACTCTGAATTAACCAAGCGTAATTTGGCTGATTTTTTTTTTTCTCCCTCCCCTCTCTAATGCAGCAGTTGCGATTATTCAAAGCCCCCCTCTTAAGTATCAATAGCTTCTGGTGCTTTTAAGGTGCTTGGTCTCTAGTTATTCCGAAGTACCTTTAATGGACTTGGCTGCAGGCATAATTTCTGGGTTGCATTTCTTTGTTACATTTAATATAGCTGGTGCAGAATTTAGATTAAATATAGGAACCTGCTGGAAAACCAATTGCTTCTGGATCAGTAGCTGTAGATGTGCATTTTTCTCCTCAGATAGGCTGCTGATATTTACTTGCAGGTACAAATGTATACCTTTCAGCCACACTCTTAGAAACGAACCTCTTGCCTGAAAGCAGTTTAGAAAACACAGCCAGGTAGCACTCCATATTGCTTGTATTTTGCTTGAAGTAATAATGCAGTTGAAAATAAGCCCACCACCACCTATTGGTCATTGAAGTTACAAAAAAGATGCTAAGCATTAGTACTAAACTGAAAATCAACTTGCTCTCTATCTCTGTGTCATGAAGGAGAGTTGGAGCTGAACCCCAAAATGGTACTAACGCTACCTGGTGTTCTTCAAATAGGAGCCAAGCCCCTTCAAAGTGCACAGGTTTGGTGGGATTTCTTCCTTTTTTCCTTTTCCCCATATAAGGAACCACTTGATGTTTGTGATTGATTGCATTGCCCAAATGCTGAAATATTAACGACCTTCTTGGACTGAGGACCCAAAGAAAGGAAACTGAAACCGATTCTGTCATCACAATTAAAGACTCCCCTGGCTTTAATTAGCCTGACCTGGGGTATGTCTCCCCTTTGCTTGAGTTAAAGAGAAAAGAGCCCATTATAGTCCAGTCTGAGACCGATAGCTACTTAATTGAGCACCTAAAGCCTCAAGCCTTTTAAATCAAACACTGTCCTGGACAGTCCCCCTGGTTAGATAATTAACTCTCCAGCGCACAGAAATGTAAAAAAAAAAAAACAAAAAACCCAACTTTTCAGAAAAAGGGTGGAATTCTAATAGTAGCCTCCCTCTCTGGCAAAAAAGGATTAAAATGTGTATAGACATGTAAGTTATTCTGCTCTGAGGCAGCCTTAAAGCTGAAGACATGGGAAGATCTGAAATTCCATTAATAATGTTCAGTAGCACATCAGTCCTGGATAGATCTTGGTCATTTTCAAACTTTGTAATTTTTGACACTTTAGGCTGATTGTTTCTAGAACAGTTAAGAAAGTGCTACTGGAGAAAATAAGATGTACGAGAAGCTTGTGGACTGCCTGATTATTAAAACACACTTAGGTGTTGAAGACATACAGCTGACTTTACTCAGGGTGAATTGTTAAATAAATGAACACTTAGGCTGGGTAATCAGATCAGTACTGTGAAAGGGTATTTTTGAGATGAAGTATCACGGTCTGTTGGTAGTGGCAGCCATAATTATAGATTCTTATCCATTAAAATATTTCTGGGTTGCTGTAAGAGGATATTTGGTCCTTAGCTCTGGTAGGATTCAGTTTCCCACCCCCATTATTACTCCCCTCTCTCCTTTAATCCCCAGAATGTATTTGGCCACATTGACAGGTTTTTAGCATTTATTTTTACCCGAATTGTTTGAATTTGGTACCTCTCTTGGGGATTGGCATAGCTCTGCTGTTGTCTGTAAATTCTTTCCCTGAGGCCATGCTAATTCTCTAGCCACCCGGCCTTTCTGAGAACTCCCCAGACGCAATGATGACAATCCAAATTTGCGATCCAAATTTGTGGGGTGCTTAGGTGGGACATGGGATGTCCTCATCAGTGGTCCTGAAGTGGTTCCACACAGGGAGATCGCAGGCCGGTGGCCCCTGAGCTCCCACGGGGTGCGGTGCTGTGTGGTCCCACAGCTAGGGGTCCTGACAGTGTATTATTTCAGCTTTCTCTCTGTAACTGTTCTGATTCTGCAAGAACGTGTCAATGTGTCGTGGATCTCAGACTAATTAGTTTTGAAATGGAGTTTTGATTGAACTCTTCAAATCGATGCTGCTGCAAAATTTGTTTCT